CCTCCTCCTCCCTCCTCCTCTCTCTTCCTCCTCATCTTCCCTCCTCCTCCCTCCTCCTCTCTCTTCCTCCTCATCTTCCCTCCTCCTCCCTCCTCCTCTCTCTTCCTCCTCCCTTCTCCTCCACCAAGGCCCATTCCTGTTCCCCCAGCTCCCTGCCCTCCCCTAGAAGCAGAAGTCGGGCAAAGATCAACATCAGAATGAAGGAATCCACCAAGTCCGTGAAGGAAACAACCTCGAAGGACACACACTGAGACATCGTGATCAGTAGAGCCTTCCTGGAACTTCCCCCACCAAGCAGGTCACACAGCTCTGATTGTCCCAGTTACCACCCTGTGCACACTGGCGAAAGTCCCTCCTGCTCTTCTGACCATCTCTGTGAGGAGCCAAAGGGCCCTCCCCTAAAAATGGGAAAATGTGTTTTCTGCCGCTCTGGCTTCTGCTCTAGAAAATGAAATTCTTTTGACCTTAAGGCAGTTTACAATTTATTTGAGCAAAAGAGGGTTTTGGTACACAGCCCTTCTCCAGTCTTGCTGGAAAAGACTGTAAGGGGTGGTGGTGGTTCTTCACGTGGTCGGTGCCCAGGGGAACCACGGTACTGCTGCTGTTACATTTAGAAACGTGTGTGCATGTCTCTAGGAAGTTCTCAGCTTCTGTAAGATTCTCAAAATGATCCTCGTGAGGTGCCACAGACATGGGTTGGACAGGGCAGCTACTGCCCAGCCCCAGCCAGACTTCAACTCTAATGTGAGAGAAAAACTAAGCAGGTGAATGGGCACACACCGGGGATCAAACAAAGGGGGCAAAGAGTTTTGAAGGAAACAGGGGCTAAGACAGGGGATTCTAGGCAGCACCCATTTCTCTGGAAGACTCTGGAAAGGGACAACATTTAAATTGAGATGTGAAAGAGAGACGCAGCCACACATTCCAGAGGAAATGGCACGAAAACAGTCTTGGAGATGGGAAGGAATAGCACATTTAAGGGACAGGAAAGGCATGAGACTGTAGGGGCCTGGCTCTGAGCTGAAGGTGGCGGGTCGGAGGGGACATCAGACAGCGTTTCCTCCAGGTGCAGTGGGAACGCTCTGAGGGCAGCATGTGGGCAGATTTCGGTGCTCGGCTCCCTCTGGGGCTGGGTGAAAACTCATTGGAACAGCTGAGAGCGGCCACAGGGAGACCAGTTACAGGCTGGTGATTGGCCCTGGGCCACATCTGGGGGAAGGCTGGTCTAGACTCAGGAAGGTGAGGCAGGAAACCTGGCTGCCCACCCTCCCCGGCTCCTCTGACATCACAACACTCCTCCTTCAAAAGCTGTCATTTTCTCCCAGGATTACACCTGCCAGCCTGCTCCAGACGCCCAAAAGAAAAAGAGAACACTTGGAGAGCAGAATCCAATTTCAAAGAAATCAGTTCCACAAGACCAGGCTTCCCCGCACCCACTGCTGTCCGCATCCCACCGCACGCCACTGCCAGGCTCCTTGTCCACAAAAAGCAAACCCTACTGGCATTTTTCTTTCCCAACCCTTCAGTGACTCAATCTCTCTCTCACTCTCTTTCTATCTCTCTCCACAGTCTTTCTGCCTCTCTCAATAGTCTCTCAATATACATATACTTGAGAATGCATCAGAGAATGTGGATGAGAAGATTTTAATTATCTTTCATCATCGATGACCAGTTTTACTTGTTAGCAATAATGGAAAAATTGATCAGGCAGAATCCACATGTAAAAAGGACTGTGTTTTTAATTAAAGATGTTTTATGCATTGAAAATCAATGTTTAAATAGATCAATATAAGTATGATCCCTTTGGGCTATATTTACACACCACATATTTATCTATGTGTCACTTGAGATCAACAGCATAACTGTCATCTCCAGGAATTTTGCAGGATAAGTGGAGAGAATTTCTTTCCCTCTTTTATTGCATATTGTTTTGTTCCAGTCTGTAAGCACTGAAATGCCATATCATAGATGAAATGTGAACAGTGAGGAGGCCTGCTAATAAAATAACAAGCTTTTACTTCAATAGTGAAATATAACGGGGGAAGTGGCTTTATTAGCCAAGGTGCTCTTTCCTCATCCAGGAACAATGAATCTTTAAAAGATTTTATATCTGATATTAATAAGTTCTTTTAGCATTCAAAAGAAACACAAAATACTCTGATTTAGGCCGGGCGCGGTGGCTCATGCCTGTAATTCCAGCACTTTGGAGGCTGAGGCTGAGGATCACTTGAGGTCAGGAGTTCAAGACCAGCCTGGCCAACACAGTGAAACCCCATCTCTACTAAAAATACAAAAATTAGCCAGGTGTAGTGGTGGGTGCCTGTAATCCCAGCTACTTGGGAGGCTGAGGCAGGAGAATCACTTGAACTCAGAGGCGGAGGCTGCAGTGAGCTGGGATTGCTCCACTGCACTCCAGCCTGGGCACAGAGCAAAACTCCATCTAAAAAAAAAAAAAAAAAAACCTCTTATCTATTGATGAAAAATATTGTCTTGTGGTGCAAATATGTTGGTCACATCAAAAACTTAGGCTGAAATAAAGAACATTGCTCTCTAATTATAAAATGTTTCTAGTGACTCTCTGAAACTAAATTCTCAAATTATCCTAAATGTCTCTGTCCTAACTCAGTTTTTTCCCTTCTATCTATATTTTCCTGGAATTCCAGTGAAATGCCAATTTAGAGAAATAGCTAATTTAAATATCACCAACTAACTTAATTCAGTTGAACGTGAAGTTCTCTGGAGTTTGGACTTCTGTCTTCTTGGGCACAAGGGACCACTCTCACTTGCCAAGGGGCATTTCTCTTTAGCTCCATTACCCATCCCACCAGACACTGGGCTCAGTTCAGCACCTGGAAGTTAATTTGGCCTGTATTAAAGAAAATGAAAAGTGATTCATGAGGAGTAACTGTGTTTCAGCCAAACTCAGGTGAAGTTATCAGTTAGGTGAGGCTCAGTGACCTCCCATGTGTGTGCTGATCAGGACGAGGAGCAGCGGACTCTGAACTCCAGCCATTTACACTGAACGATCTGCAACCTGCCTTTTGGCCTGAGGGGCTGTCCGCAGAGCTGGGACTTCTGCATTCTCTGCTTGTCCATATCAAGCCTCTTTCCAGGCCTCAACTGTCATGCCAGCTTGATTTTCAGAACCAGGGAGTGTCTATGAGTAGCCTGAGCAGAGCTGGAATGGGCTGCTGATCTCCTCAGCTCAGGGATCTGGACCAGCACTGCCTCCCTGCAGTCCCTTCAGTGCTGGGATGGTTCCTCCTGTGGATGCCGCATGCAGGATTTGCAGACACTGGGCTCTGAACCACAGGGGTCCAGGAGAGGTAGGGCATGCTAGGTCCAGCTTGTAACAGCTCATGAGAGCCAATTACTACATTTTCAGAAATTTTGCAGGCCAATTGGCGAACTATTGGTAGCTTGAAATCAGCCACAGTGGAATCATTTATACTACCGAAATCAGCAAGTGCTGAAACTGGGGCTTTGGGTTTTGGTTTTTGTTTGTTCCATAAAACCCACTGTTGAACTATTGTTAAACATTTACCAGCATACCACTGCGACTGGGTCCCATCTCGGCTACCAGGAGAACCTGACACAGACGTCCTAACTGCTTTCGGGGGCTACTGGAGAGCCCAGAAAGATGGTGCTGAAGGAGATGAGATTTCCCAGAAGGAAGTATGGTTGAAGTCAGAAGTTATATCAGAAATATTCTTCCATTTGGAACCTGGAAACATGCGTCACTTCTGCTGCCTTTCACAGAGTAAGACGGCATAAGAGATGTCCGTGACAGCTTGAAAGGCTGCGTCTTCATTTTCTTTCGTTTTCAATATTGCTTCTCTGAGATTCTACGGGATGACTGTATTAGTCCGTTTTCACACTGCTGATAAAAACATACCCAAGACTGGGAAGGAAAAGAGATTTAATTGGACTGACAGTTCCACATGGCTGGGGGAGCCTCAGAATCATGGCAGGTGGCAAAAGGCACTTCTTACATGGCAGCGGCAGAAGGAAAAATGAGGAAGATGCAAAAGCAGAAACCCCTGATCAAACCATCAGATCTCATGACATGTGTTCACTATCAGGAGAACAGTATGGGGGATCCACTCCCATGATTCAAATGACCTCCCACCAGGTCCCTCCCACAACACATGGGAATTACGGGAGTGCAAGTCAAGATGACATTTGTGTGGGGACACAGCCAAACCATATCAATGGCCTTGGAAAAAAAGATGCAACTGAAGTAAAACCTAATAAGATCACTCTCTATTCCATTTTCTGGGAAAGAGGTAAATTTCTATGTGAGTGCTTAAGTGACGCCCAGGGTTAATTGTAGGACAGGATGATGGTGAAAATACATTAAAGACAGATATCCTGTGTGGTGCATACGCTCACTGTAGCAATATACCCCAGCCCCATATGGTCATACATTGCAATGAATGCCCACCCTACTTCCAGCCCAGCAGCTGCATCTCTTTGCCTGAGGGCTTTCCACTGGAAAATATAAGCCCCCAGGGAGCAACCCTCCATCAAAAACTGGCAGGATTTAGTGTGTAAACATCCCAGCACCTATGTTAGGATGTCTCTGAGGCATATGCACACTGTCGTGGAGAGCTCCCAGCTCACTAAAGAGCCAGTGCCCCACTCTGTCATTGGCTTGACAACGCACTCTGTATTGGATTTCCTTCCTCTCTTCCCTGTTTCACTTCCCCACTCTTTACTACTGTTTTCTTTTCTTTCTTTTCTTTTTCTTTTTTTTTTTTTTTTTTTGAGGTGGAGTCTCGCTCTGTTGCTAGGCTAAAGTGCAGTGGCACGATCTCAGCTCACTGCAACCTCCACCTCCTGGGTTCAAGCAATTCTCCTGCCTTAGCCTCCAGAGTAGCTGGGATTACAGGTGCCTGCCAGCTAACTTTTGCATTTTTAGTAGAGATGGGGTTTCAACATGTTGGCCAGGATGGTCTTGATCTCTTGACCTTGGGATCCACCCACCTTGGCCTCCCAAAGCTGAGATTACAGGCATGAGCCACCGCACCCTGCCTTTACTACTGTTTTCTAGGATTACTTCCCAAACAAACTACTGGGGCCGCCCCACCTTTCACCCACCCAAAGCCGGCATCCAGGGAAGATAGATTAAGACTATCTACTCTTTCCCTGAAACTTTGCTCATCCAGGGCCTGATCATTTGTGCACCCCGGTCTCACAAAGGGTCTGCACTGAGTCACAGTGACTGTATATGTCAGCCAGAGTTCCTCCTGCATGGGAACTTAGAGCAGGGCATTGGTGGCATAATTTAATGAGAAATCATATACAACTGAGGCCCCATTTAATTCTAAAGCCCTTATTCAATTATCTACAGGGGCCTGAGGACTGAGTGGAGAATGTGTGTCTGATGGCTTTTCTTTAAGTATTATTACATAAATTTTCAAGCGTAGACAAAATTAGAGTTCATTAGAGTACTGTACAATGAACTCTTAGGTTCTCATCACCCAGCTTTAATAGTTATCTACATATAACTAATCCCTTTTTATCTATGTCCCCCATTTCCTTTTGCTGGATTATTTTAAAGTAAATTTAAGATATCACATTATTTAATTTGTAAATACTTCAATAGATATCTCCAAAAAATAAGGTCTCCTGAAAATAACAATGTAAGAGCATTTATTAAAACATACTACTAATCATACTTAATGGTGAAAGACCGAAACATTTCCCCATAAAATCAAAAACAAGACAATGATGTCTGCTCTTGTCACTTCTATTCAACATTGTACGGAGGTTGTAGCCAGGTCAGTTAGGCAAGAAAAAAAGACGAAAATCATCCAGATGGGAAAGAAGTAAAATTATCTCCATTTGTATATGGCATGACCTTGTATATAGAAAATTCTAAGGAATTTACCCCCAAAAATGAATGAAATTAATAAATGAATTCAATAAGTTTTCAGGATACAAGATCAATATTAAAAAATCAATTATATTTCTCTATGTTGAACAATGAACAATCTCAACATGAAATGTTGGAAGAAAATTCCATTGACAATAGCATAAAAATAGTAAAATATTCAAGAATAAATTTAACAAAAGAAGAGAAAGACTTGAACACCAAAAACTATAAAATATTGCAAAAAATTTAAAGAAGACCTAAATAAATGGAAAAATAACTCCATTTCCAACTTTCCAAAGTAATCTATAAATCCAATGCAAATATTATCAAGATCTCAGCTTCCTTTATTACAAAAATAGATAAACTGACCCTAAAATGCATGTAGAAATGCAAGTGTCAGGAATAGCAAAAATCATCTTTAAAAATGGGAACAAAGTTGGAAGACTCACACTTCCCATTTTCAAAATTTATCACAAAGGGATAGTAATCAAAATAGTATGCTCCAGACACTCAATTCTATTTCATTGATCTATATGTCATTGTTCATTGATAACCCTGCACATATATGGTCCATTGATCTTTGACAAGGATGCCAAGATAGTCAATGGGGAAAGACTTGTCTTTTCAACAAATGATGCAGGGATAACTGGATATCTATGCAAAAAAGAATGAAGTTGGACCTCTATCTTACATCATATACAATATTCCTTTATTCATGAGGAATAAATTTAACAAAAGAAGAGAAATACTTGAACACCAAAAACTATAAAATATTGCAAACAACTTAAAGACCTAAATAAATGGAAAAATAATTCCATTTCCAATCCATGTTCACAAATCATAGACTTAAACCCAAGTGTTAAAATTATAAAACTCTTAGAAAATAAATAGGAGTAAATCTTTATGACCTTCAATTAGGCAAACATTCTTAGATCAGACACCAAAAGCACAAGCAACCAAAGAAAAGCTAGATAATTTTTTTTTTTTTGAGATAGAGACTCGCTCTGTCACCCAAACTGGAGTGCAGTGGCACAATCTCTGCTCACTGCAACCTCTGCCTCCCGGGTTCAGGTAATTCTCATGCCTTAGCGTGCCAGGTAGCGGAGACTACTGGCACATGCCACTATGCCTAGCTAATTTTTGTATTTTTAATAGAGACAGGGTTTCACTATAATGGCCAGGCTGATCTTGAACTCCTGGCCTTCAACGAGTCACCTATCTCGGCCTCCCAAACTGCTGGGGTTACAGGCATGAGCCACCGC